TTCTAGGGCGTCTCTATTGGTTTTGTTGTAGAGTCGGACAAAGGAGCTGGGGTCTTCACAGGTGCCTGTTAGGTTCACTTCTATATCTATATGTGATGTTGCATTCAATCACCTCTTTTAATGAGCGGTGTTTGACCAGGTTCTGAGGCTGGGGTCTGGCTGATTGTGATACAATGGAGAAGTGAATGGAGTGGTGGTCTGACCAAACAACTGGATTTACAGTTACTGGTGACACTTCTAGTCCAAACTGGAACACTAGATCAAGTGTATGACCTTTTCTGTCGGTGGAAGTGGCAACGATTTTGTGTGCAGCCGAGTGCATTCATCAAGCTGAGCAGATCCAAGCAGGGATAGGGATAGGGTGTCATCAATCCAAGTGTTGAAGTCTCCCAATATAAGCCATCTGGGGTGTTCAATGATAAAACCAGTCAAACGGTCTGAGAGTTCCTGAAGAAATGTCTTCCCATCTCCTTGGGGTCTGTATATTAACAGTATCCGGAATCCTCTATCTATTGAGATGCTGGCAGCTACACATTCAGAATATTGGGGTTTGGATTTTAAGGATGATTTGGATGCCTGGAATAGCTGCATCTAGAATAAGCCCCGCTTTTTCATCAGAATTTATCAGCCATGATTCTGTAACGCACGCTAATTCGCATGGTTCAATAAGGTCGGCAATAATAGCTGTTTTGTTCCTTATTGATCTGTCACTGCACAGGATTGATCTGATAGGACAGTCTTGGGATTCAGAATTTTTGCTCTGTACTTTGGAAACAGTGTGTCTACTAATGGGGATCACACAAAGAGGTTTCCTTGATTTGTTAGTGAGGTTTTTGTGGCTTGTAGGTAGTTAGGGTGGTGGGGCAGCTATGATAGTGTCAGGAGATTGAACTTTAAGTTTTGATTTTCCTCCACGACAGCCCATGTCAGTGCCTTTGAATATGCCAAGGGTTATTTATAGATAACTTATTAAAAAAAGTGTGTGTGCATGCGTACGTACATACATACATACATACATACACTGGGCACAAACCAAGAAAGTTATTGTTGGGGGGGGGGGAAGTGCTTAAAAGCCCCTCCACCTGAAGTCAGTGGATAGTAAATACTTTGTTAAACACAGATCAGCACATTAGTCAAGCCACATGACTTGCTTTTCCCACAGAAATCTCACATTTGCTGAGCTGTTACTACCGCAAAGGATTCTGGGTGGGCATATGCAAATGAGTTAAAAAAAGAACATAAACTCAAAGAAATCCATGTTTAAAATGGAATGATGAGGCCAAAAAGCTTGTTCTTTCTCAAACTATTTGCATATGCATATAACGAATATTAATAGAAAGGAAAACTCCAGTCTCAATAAAACTATACAGCGTGCTGAAGTATTTTAGGATTAACTTGCCCGTCCCTTCCGGGTTATTTTGTAAAAGTACGTATTTCAGAAGACACCTGCTCATTTCCTAATAACCCATTTCTTTCCTCGCTCACGTTGAACTGTAGTTCAAAGCGAAAGTGAGTGCTACTAATACCAAAGCATCTGATCGGACCCTGGCCATCAGTAACGATGACTTCACAGTAGAAGAGAAGATTCTCCCTGAGCTGGAATGAGTTTAACAGATTTTAAACTTTTTTTAATGCCAAAATGGCAGTAATCCAAATAGATTTTAAAGAACCAGGCAATTATAAAAGATACCCCTTTATATTGGCGTTCACTCTCTGGGTGGGCCACTCCCAACTCCAACTAAAATAATAGAAATGGGGGACGAACTCTGTAATCAAAGTTTGAAAGAATGCAGTGTTAATCTGACTTTGTATATATTGCTAAATGTCGTTGAGATGCTGGGTACACTGTGACACCCATTGCTGATAGACTGCTGCCTCTTTAAGTGAATCTTCTGGCTTTCTCAACGTGCATTGAGTCGTCTTTGGTCAGAAACGCTGCTTATCTGACCAAAGACTATGCACAACGAAGAGTTAAAGCCAACTCGGAGTGTGTTATTGAGATAACAGGGGAATTCGCTCTCTGTTTTTTCTTTGGTAAAGGTGATAATTGTGAAAAAGGGTCAACTGTATGGGCTGAACACACACCCTGCTGTCCATATACAACCCTTCATAAGGAATCCTGGATCAGCTTGCGTACAGACCAAGAATATCTTTCATTTTCTCCCCTGCTGCCCTGGCTGACACTGCACAGACCTGCACAGTCTATAATAAACATTAAGGATCTTTTCCCTCTAAACAGCCACATATTGCTTCACTCTTTTCATAATATTTTGCTTAAGAGGTTTTTTCGGTACCAAAATGCATTACTGAGCACTTGTCTACATTGAATGTGCAATGCCGACCCATTTATCTGCTGGATTCTGCCCTGTTTTAGAGTGTTTCTGGGATATGTGCACCCATTCTTTCCCACTATTTACATTACTGAAAAGCTCTGTATTATCTATAAAATATCAAGATGTATTCTTCACTCCTGCCTTGATGACACGTATGTTAATAGAGCGGCACGCCGGTAGATGGATCCCAAGTGTCTGATCCCTATTCCAATGTCCTTTACTAGAAGAACCCACAGTGTATTCAGAGCTGATCCCTCTTCCGTCACGTTGGCCACAAAATAATAAGTTCGGTCAGCTCTACCCCCTATTGAAGGGGATCCAACTAGCCATCAGGGATCTCTTTTACCCAGGCTGCGTCCCCAATATAATACACCACTCTCTCTGCAAAAGTGTATTTTGTCTCCTAAAAATGATTGTAAGCTCATCAGATTAGACTTCAGAAAAGATAAATCGTGCATTGCGTCTGGTTATTTGAAAGGTGTTGTAAAACATATTCATATTTAATAATGGAAGACAGTCGCTAGCGGAGAATGACATCCATGATATTTGTAAAACATAAAATAAGCATTATTTGGTATTTTTATATCTCTTTACAGTTTATATTAAGGAGGAAATATAGCGCTTCACATCCCAATAACCTTCTCATTTTTCAGTCTTTTCATGCTACATAGAATTAGGGACAGCGGCCCCACCAAATGCAGGCTCTACATAGGTCCTCCCTCCCTTCCCACACTTTAATCCAGCGCTTAGGCTCCATCTGCACTGTTCACCTTGCTGCCTCCCACAATGTCATGGAAGAGGAATGGCCCAATTCAATGCTTCCCATAGAGGAGCATTGGGAACGTAATGCACACGTGCGGCGAGTGTCACACTCACTCAAACATATCGTCAGGAAAGCATTGAGTCTTTTGGGGCATCTGCATCACGTGATTGAGTTTTGCTCTGTCAGTGCAGTGGAAGCGCATGTAGTGGCTGTCATATGGACGTAACCCATATGTAAATATTGCAATTTCTGAACGTCTGTAAAGTCATTGCAGGGTTAAAAGGACAGGGACACTGCACCCAAACCATATAGTGTCCATTTAACTGCCTCACTTCCCTATCCTTGTATCACATTGCACAAGAGCCTCCACGGCTCATCATACAGTGCTCCATTCCAGCAGCCAGGGAGGAGACTCTGAGCTCTCTGTGAGGATTCTTTGCACAAGTACCCTGACATATTGATTAGTACAAATACTTGGATTTAGCAAGAAACAGTACTATACAGTATGTGAATAATATGCTCAGTTTTGTCCTACCTGCAAATTGATATTAAAGGATAGAATGAATGAATAAATTCAGATTTATTTTTTCTATTTAGTTTTCCCTAAACTACTGATTTGTAGTAGGTGAAATAATTTTTACACTCTCTCTTACCAGTGAAAGGGGTTAATTGTGTTACAAATAAATAATTCACCAAATTATAAATTTAAAGTGAAACCGCCTACAGTTGTCTAACGCCACGGGCCTTTTCTGACCAGTACTAGTGCATCTTTTTTATTCAAATTTTAAACACTCAAAACACAGCATTGCCATAGTATGAGATTAAGAATAATTTGACATCAGTATTAAACAACATTTAGGAGCTGCTAGGATGGCTGCATGTCATACAATTGCGTTTAAAGACTATGCACATAACAGAACAATCTACAGGAGTCGGGAGGGTCAGTTTTCTGTAATGAATGTACCAAGTCCAATTTCCATCTCAGGAACGTTATGCCTACAAGAGGCACAGAGGAGTGTAGCGAAGTGGTATAGCCTAGTAATGTCTCTTCGACAAAGGTGGGCTGTCGTCGTATCTGATTGCCTTCGGCACTGGGGTCACCCTTATCTTCATCTTGCAGGTTCAACTGTTGGAGAAATAGCTGTTGGTCGTCTGTGGAGGGCAGGGTATGCGTCTGGTCTCACCATTGTACCGCCAGGGAGGATCCATCCGCCCCCACTGGTATCTGACCTGGGCATCTCTTAGCTGTTTGGCTGTTGGTGCCAGCTGTCACCATTCCACCAGTGCAGCAAACGGGAGATCTCTGTAAAGGGCCACTGTGCCCAGGTCTCTGGAGCGGGACATGATAGTGGAGCGGGTTGCCACATCCTTCGTGATGGCTGTGTCTCTGGGTGCGCCTCCAGGAGCTGTTGCAGCTTTGCGGATTCTGAACACGGAGAGTATCATGCTTGGCTCAGTGCCCCTTTTGATGCCCATTATGATAATAGGTGGGATCACTCGGAGGCAGACATTCCACCGTCTATGCCGTGCTTCCATTGTAGTGACAGCCCGCGTGAGTTTTTTGACTTGCAAGGTAAGAGCCTTCATCGAGTCCAGGGAGTTCTGTATTTGGTGCTCCGTTGCATTTTCCCTCTCCTCCATTGCTGTGAGCTGCTATTGAAGGTTGCCTACCTCTTTCTGAGTGGTCAGCAAGTCAGCCTTTCACACTTCCCTCATTTCTGCCAGGAGGTCTCTGATATCCTGCTTTGTCGCTGAGGATGAGTCCTCCTCCGATTCGGAGTCCTGGTGGTGGGCCCCTGTTTCGGCTGGAGACGAGGTAAGGCTCTCCCTGTCTTCATTGGAGTACTCTGAGGCCTCTTCTTCACTGGGTGCCTCAGGCGCCATTTTCCGATGGAGTACTCCTCGCAAATGAGAGACGAATGTCCGACATTCTGGGTGTCTCTGACAGGCACAATTTAATTTTTTTGCGCCCCGTTGAGGTCTCTGTGTGTGAGGCGTGTGCGTGTAGCCGCTGTTGGGAGCTGATTATTGTTTTTTGGTTTTTTTTGCCTATTTTATCGGTCGCTTGTACGGAGCTCCTCAGATACACGTCCGTCTAGCTAAGCAGCTGGCCACGCCGCCCGTAGTGCGTCTTTTTAATTGTGTTTATAATATATATCATGATTTTCTCACCCTGCGATTGTCTCACTGCAACGTCTGCTCTCTCCATTAAGAATGTACCAATCAGTCAGGGAGGATGTCAGTTTTGGATGTCATTCCAATTTTACATTTCAATTCGTGCACCAGTTTATATGTATGTAAGAATGATGCATGAATTGAAATACAATTTTTTTTAAACCTGTGTTTTTCTTTGTTTTTAAATATTCTAAAAACCTGGTCACTCCTGTGCCCCAGGCAGTCCCAATGCAGACACTATTTTTGTAATTTGTTTTCACATATGTAGTTTGTGAAAATGTGATACCGGGCAATAACACTAAACTGAGAACGGTGAGTAATTGAGAACAAAATAACAAATAAGAGTCCAATTGCAAAATTTCTCTTGCTGGATTATATTCCAGCTCATATTTTGTGTTAAAACTTGCAATTCCCTTACCTGTTGGCCACAATTCCCAATTAGAGGTTAATCCAGCGGTTCCAAAACTGTGTGCCGTGGCACCCTGGGGCACCTGCAACGTGCACACAGGGGTGCCGCGGAATGTTTCCCCGGGACTATGATTACAGCACAGGCACGGGAAAAACAGGGGCCCAGTCGGGTGCCACAGTCCTTTAAGACCGCGACCAGGCCCCTGTGATGTCGGCCGGCTGGGAGGAAGTGACAGCCTGTCACTTCCTCCCAGCATACTGCATGGAGACAGCGCGGGAGGAGGCAGCCACAGCATGACGGGAGGGGAGCATAAAGAGCTCCAAACCCCTCACTCCTACCAGCAGCAGGACTCCAAGCTGCCGTCCTGGACACATTAAGTAAACTAACAGGAAGGTGGCTGGAGATATGTGTGATTGTGTGTGTGAGTGTGTGTGTATGTGTGTGTCAGGGTGTGCCATCAGGGCATGACAACCATAACTGTTGTCATGGGCCCGGCGGTCCTGGGGGGCCCGGACTGCTCTGGAAGTCTGAGCCCCACATTCCTTATGTGCACAGATATATAGTGAATTTTGTTATATATCTTTGCACTGAGTGCCCCCTACCTGTAAATTACACTCTGTCCTCCTTCCAGCTCCTCTCGTTCTAACGCTCCTGTGGCCGCCAGAGCGTTGCCACGGGTTACCATGGCAACACTCCGCACAGCACGCAGGCCGGTCTCGCGAGAGTTCGTCAGAGAGGAGCTGGAAAGGAAGACAGTGTGTGCTGCTGGGCCCCCCTCTGCAATATAACGTGGCTGGCTCCCTCCACCGGACCACCAGGGAATGCGATCACCCCCTCCCTGGCAAGGTAAGAACCAGGGAGGGGGAATAAAATTTTAATTTTAAATATACACAATATAAATTTTTTTTTTTTTAAATACTCCCCTCCCCCCTACTTTACACAAACACTGCATCCTTACAAGCACACACACACTCTGCACTACACACACACACACTACATTCACTAAACATACTCTGCGCTACACACACACACTACATTCACTGAACACACTCTGCACTACACACACACACACGCACTACATTCACTAAACACTCTGCACTACACACACACTTCATTTACTAAACACACTCTGCACTACACACACACAATACATTCACTGAACACACTCTGCACTGAACACACTCTGCACTACACACACACACACACACACTACATTCACTAAACACACTCTGCACTACACACACACTTCATTTACTAAACACACTCTGCACTACACACACACAATACATTCACTGAACACACTCTGCACTGAACACACACACACACTACATTCACTGAACACACTCTGCACTAAACACACTCTGCATTACACACACACACTACATTCACTAAACACACTCTGCACTACACACACACACTACATTCACTAAACACACTCTGCACTACACACAGACACTACATTCACTAAACACACTCTGCACTAAACACACTCTGCACTACACACACACACACACACTACATTCACTAAACACACTTTGCACTACACACACACACTTCATTTATTAAACACACTCTGCACTACACACACACTACATTCATTGAACACACTCTGCACTAAACACACTCTGTACTACACACACACACACACACACACTACATTCACTAAACACACTCTGCACTACACACACACACTACATTCACTAAACACACTCTGCACTACACACACACACACATTACATTCACTAAACACACTGCATTACACACTCACACTACATTTACTGCACTACATTTACTAAACACACTCTGCACCACACACACTAACACTACATTCACTAAACACACTCTGCACTACACACACACACACTACACTCACTAAACACACTCTGCACCACACACACACAC